CAGGAGAATCCTTTGAACTCAGGCGGCAGAGGTTGCAGTGAGCCGAGATCGTGTCGCTGCACTTCAGCCTGGGCAACAGAGTGAGACTCTGTCTCAAAAAAGAAAAAAAAAAAGTATTAAAAAAGAGCTGAGAAGTCAGAGTTTTGACCCCCACACTATCTTAGTCAGAATTGCTCTGTTTTCGTATTTTATGTGTGGATATTCTCTGTGAAATGTGAAAAAAAATTCAACTGCTAAGAAAAAAATGTATTTGAACAGCCCTGCTTTATATAATAGGTAAGTGATTGAAAATGTGAATGTAAATTTAACTTTTTATTTCTCTATGCACTGGGAACACACAGGGAAACCTTTTGAAAGAACGTTCTTGCATTCTTTGTAAAATCCATACCTGTGGATTTTCGTGAGTCTGAAATAATTAAGAGTGTGCTGGATGAGCAGCCTTTAAGGGCAGTGTTGGGGAGGGAGTGGGGCAGGTCTGGGGAAGGACAGTGTATTACTTCACTGACTGTTTTACATCTTAGCAACAAGACAACTTCTGTACAGTAACAGAGTCCCTCAGGATTACAAACTACTTGAGGGCAGAAACTCTATTACCTTCTTTTCTGTAAGCTCTTTCAGCTGCCTGTCATGATTCTGTAAATATTTCATGTGCAAATGAGTCAATAAATGGTAGGAAGGCAGATAGAGCAGGAAAATTACCTTTTCCTTCCAATTATCTCTTGGCCCATACTCTTCAAACTCACTGGACTCGGCTCTAGACAGTCAGATCAAGTTTATCTTTGGTGCTCTTTGCATTCCTTTCTCCCAAGTACCCAGTGTATCCTCCCAACCAAGATCATTTCACTCTCAAATCCCAGAAAGGGCTCTCTTCCCATGTAGTATCTCATTCCTCAGACCTTTCCTAATCCTCTAGAAGGGGCTCTAGGACCTCTAGGCTTCCTTGTTGTAAGTCCTACTTCTTGCTCTCTGTAAGTCTTAGAGTTAGCATCAGGCCACCTAGAGGAAGAAGATGACAGAAAAGCGAGTCTTCAAACTCTTGCCTCTGAGTGCAACTAGAATAGAACAGTGCCCACCATGTCTCATTGTATCTAAGCACTTAGCCCCACCCAAGCTGAACAACACTTACCTCCCGAGACCTTTTTTCCCGCAAAGGACAGTTTTGTGTGATCCCAGAGTCATTTTATTTTATTTAATTAATTAATTAATTAAGTTTTGAGATAGAGTTTCACTCTGTCCCTCAGGCTGGAGTGCAGTGGTGTGATCTCGGCTCACTGCAACCTCCACCTCCTGGGTTCACAAGATTCTCCTGCCTCAGCCTCCCGAGTAGCTGGGATTAGAGGTGCACGCCAACACACCCGACTAATTTTTGTATTTTTTTTTTTAGTAGAGATGAGGTTTCACCAGGTTGGTCAGGCTGGTCTTGAACACCTGACCTCGTGATCCACCCACCTTGACCTCCCAAAGTGCTGGGATTACAGGCATAAGCCTCCACGCCCAGCCCAAGTCACTTTATTTTTAAGGGCAGATAAGCTACAGAAACATAAGGCATCCGTTTCTTGAGTTATCATATCTCCCACCTCTCATGGCTCAAAGTTACGGTCCTTCAAATTGATATATTGAGAAAAAAGCATAAGCCACTACCAGAGCAGTCATTTCTCTCCCAGTGTGTGGTTATCCTGGCTTACTTTGGCTCACAGTAGTGAAGGAAACAAGCTGTTTGTTTAAACCGTGAAGAATCAGGCAGGGCGCGATGGCTCGTGCCTGTAATCCCAGCACTTTGGCAGGCCGGGGGGATGGATCACGTGAGGTCAGGAGTTCGAGACCAGCCTGGCCAACATGGTGAAACCCTGTCTTGACTAAAAATACAAAAATTAGCCAGGCATGGTAGCACATGCCTGTAATCCCAGCTACTTGGGAGGCTGAGGTAGGAGAATCGCTTGAACCCGGGAGGCGAAGATTGCAGAGCTGAAATCCTGCCATTGCACTCTCGCCTGCGCAACAAGAGTGAAACTCTATCTCAAAAAAAAAAAAAAAAAAAAAAGATGGAGAATCAGTACTCAGGAGTTACTCCTTTAGTTTCTCAAACAAATGGTCATCATATGCCTGCTATATACGAGACCTATTAACCCACTGTGGTAGATTCTGATAGAATTAACTTCTTAATGTATCATTTTGTTTTCTGTTTACTCCATCAGCAGAATTCTTTTTTTTTTTTTTTTTGAGACGGAGTCTTGCTCTTTCACCGGGCTGAAGTGTAGTGGCACTATCTCTGCTCACTGAAACCTCCATCTCCCAGATGCAAGCGATTCCCCTGCCTCAGCCCACTGAGTAGCTGGGACTACAGGCACGTGCCACCACACCCAGCTAATTTTTTGTATTTTAGTAGAGACGGGGTTTCACCATGGCCAGGATGGTCTCGATCTCCTGACCTCATGATCCACCTGCCTCGGCCTCCCAAAGTGCTGGGATTACAGTCGTGAGCCACTGCGCCCGGTCCCATCAGCAAACTTCTTTAGGGAAACTCATGTAACTCGTTCAGTAACAAAAACAAACAACACTCAAACATACTTACAACTCAGGTCACTTTTAAACCACCGTCTACAAATGTTTCCAGTTTTAAGGCAAAAACAACTTGAGTACCACGTGTGACTATAAAATAATGTGATTATTATCTTTTCAAAACAAACATAATAAGGTGTACCCATTCAAAGATGTAATCTCCCCTTTAATGTAGTCACCTTGAGAGTCCATGCCTTTGTTCTATTGATGTGGCAACAACTGCTTGTCTTTTGGTACTAAAATTAGACATCGCTTCTTTCTTTCCAAAAGCTGGCTCTCACCGCTAAGCCTGGGGTCGATGCCCCTCTTCTGGGCTCCTGTGGCATCCTGTGCTTGCATCAGTCAAAGCACTTGCCACACTGGATTATCTTTCTCCTTCACCTGACTGAGTGCTCCCTGAAGATAGGGACGATGTCTTGTTTGGTTTTTGTACCTTTGGGACCAAGCATGTACGGGACTAGTTGCTCAGTAAATGTTTATTAGTTGATTGAAAAATATCTTGGGATCACATTTTTGGACCGTCTTCAACAACAGCAAATTTTTATTCTTTTAATGGAGAAAGATTTTTGGAAAACAAATGTTATTCAGAAACAAGTTGGACAAATAAGGTATTAATCTAGCTGTCATTATTATTATTATTATTAGATGGAGTCTGGCTTTGTTGCCCAGGTTGGAGTGCAATGGCACAATCTCAGCTCACTGCAACTTTTGCCTCACCAGTTCAAGCGATTCTCCTGCCTCAGCCTAGTGATAGTGATGGGAGCAGAAAGACCTGACTAAAATACTCCCCTACTTTTTTTTTTTTTTTTTTTTTTTTTAGATGGAGTCTCACTCTGTCACCCAGGCTGAAGTGTAGTGGCACGATCTCGGCTCACTGCAACCTCCGCCGCCCGAGTTCAAGGGATTCTCCTGCCTCAGCCTCCAAGTAGCTGGGACTACAGGCGCATGCCACTATGCCCAGCTAATTTTTGTATTTTTAGTAGAGACGGGGTTTCACCGGGTTGGCCAGAATGGCCTCGATCTCTTGACCTCTGGTGATTCGCCTGCTTCGACCTCTTAAAGTGCTGGAATTACAGGTGTGAGCACCGCGCCTGGCCCATTTGTTTTTTAAACAAAGTAATGGTGTGTGATGTTAATGCCTGTGAAAGCATTCAATGTTCCACGCATCACTCTGAATGTAATCCATTCCAGACAGAGAATTCATAGACTTTACCATTAATATGTCTCTATATTTTAAAAAAAAATCAATTTCACTTTCAAGAACAAAGATATAATGCTGCTCTGATCCTCGAAGTGAATAATCTAGAAGGGCTTGCCAGTTTACCAAAATAACTTACAGCTTTACTATGGATTAAAATTGAATCAAAATTTAAGAACAGTATTATTAATAATGGCATAATCTACATTTGGGAAGTATATTGTTTCTTTCATTACTGTCATTTATTTTACTGTGCAGAAAATATTTTTCAATTAAAATATTGATTTCATTTTTTTAACTAGCGTTTCTCTCTCTCAGAAGTAGTTATGAAGATGACAATATATATTGCAATCAGTTATTTTGTATGATTCATGAAGAAACACTTTTTAAAATAACCTTGTAATAAAGACAGAAAACTGTTTCTTCAAGATTGTGATTCATCGTAATTATTTTTGAACATTTGGTAAATCTTACTTCTGAACTTTTTTTCTTGAGACTTGGGTCTCACTCTGTTGCCAAGGCTGGAGTGCAGGAGTGCAATTATGGTTCATTGCAGCCTTGACCTCCTGGGCTCAAGGGATCCTCCTACTCCAGCCTCCTGAGTAGCTTGGACCACAAACCTGTACCACCATGCCTATTTTTTATTTTATTTTATTTTTAGAGGGGGAGTCTTGCTATGTTGCACAGGCTGGTCTCCAACTCTTGGCTTTAAGCAGTCCTCCCACTTCGGCCTCCCAAAGTGCTAGGATTACCTGCATGAGCTACTGCACCAGACTCTGAACTTTTAAGAACTTTAAAACCCTTTCAGGGCTTATTTCAGGCCCTCCTTTATGAATTCTGCAAAGGCTTCATTTTGTGAAGAAAATGGACTTGAAGTAATAAGCATAGCATGAAACAATGTGGTTACATATATGTTCCTGCACACCCATCTTTTCAGTTTCTCTTCTGAGAAGTTCGAAGAAGTCAAGGAATTTGGGGGAATTAAAGTAATTACAAAGAGAAACAGTGTGGGCCAGCAACCCTTCCAAAATGACATACTCTGTGCTCCGGGCCCAAGGGCAAGCAGGAGGTAGGGTGCTTGCTGAAACATTTCTCTTTCACAAGAGAGGAAGAAGGAGGTAAAGTTACTATATCAATTCTTTATTTTTTTTAGACCAAGTTTTGCTCTTGTCGCCCACGCTGGAGTGCAATGGCACGATCTCGGCTCAACCTCTGCCTCCCGAGTTCAAGCAATTCTGCCTCAGCCTCCTGAGTAGTTGGGATTACAGGTACCCGCCATCACGCCTGGCTATTTTGAGTGTGTGTGTGTGTGTGTGTGTGTGTGTGTGTGTGTGTATTTTTAGTAGAGATGGGGTTTCACCATGTTAGCCAAACTAGTCTCGAACTCCTGACTTGAGTTGATCTGCCCGCCTCGGCCTACCAAAGTGCTGGGATTACAGGCATGAGCCACCATCTCCAGTCGGTTATTATATCAATTCTTAAGAAGAGATCTGTGGTGGGGCCCCACATGTGTTTTCTTCCACAAGAGAAACGGAATATGGAATTGGTAATTGGGGTCATGTACTATATTTGGCATTTGTTCCAGGTCTACTTAGTTGAACTGAATTTTCTGCTTAAAGCTTGGAATTACTATTTTGGAAATGGGGAAGATACCACTCTAAGTTGTACAAAACAAGCACACAGCTGTCATCTTTATTTCCCCTCAACGGCTATTAACAGTTTATCGTAAAGTGATAGATTTTATTCTGCTACATGGATCATGAATAGAGCAATCATAAAGCGTATTAATATTGTGAGGAAGCCCTGCATTCTGAGCATGCACATGATTAACACCCATTCTGGACATGAGTAATGATTCCTAGGGTTTCCAACCTCACCCAGAACTTCCTAAAGATTCGGAAAATGAATTTTTCACCAACCAAAACTACTATAACTTTTATTGTCCTTCTAATATCAAGATTAACAAAAAATCCAAGCATGCACTTTCAGTCATGATTGCTACCTCAGAGCTGCCTGAGTCCTTTCCATGTTGCAATGCCCCACCTAATTCTCTCTAGGCAGTGCTCCCACTTCCCAATCACTATCCCTCCTCTATGGTCCCTCAAGCGTAAAATATGCAAGCATGGATATTTGTTCCCTCAAGGCTGTTACAGAATATCCAGGACGCTGGAGAGACCAGTGGGTAAACAGGAGGATTTTATTAAGGTGGCCACTGGCTCAGAGGATTAGCATTCCAAGTCTGAGCCCTGGTGAAAGAAAATGGTTACTTTTATACATCCAGGATGCCATAGCTAACAGATTTACAGAAGTCAGAACAAAGAACAGTTAATTAATTTGCAACATGTTTTGTGATGTACGTTTGAAAAATAGCATTTTGAGAAACACATTGTACATTCTTTGGATATTATCTTGCCCGTGACCTTGTAGGTGGTCACCAAGAGAAACAGGAGTCTTGAGATGCCTGGGAACCTTGCTGAGAATGTGGGGAGAACAGATAAGGTAGGTTTTACAGGGAGTGAATTTTAAGCAGAGCTGGGGGTTAGGTTTTATATTAAACAGCATACAACACAGCAAAATTTATTATACAGCAACTACAAATTTTAAGGTTTTGTTTTTACTATTATTGCTATTATTTAATTCCCTTCTGCAAGACCACAATTCAATCTTTTTAAGAAAAAGAAGTTCCTATAGAAAGTTCATGAATCATCACTTGAAAGTAAAATGTTATGCATTTGGAGTAGGGATATTCAAAGGTTGTTTTGAATTCTCAAAGAGATCAGTATCTCCCCCCAAAAATTAAGAAGTATGGTACTAAGGTCTAAGGCACTAAGGTTGATATAGTTTCAGTTCATTTCAAATGATATAGTTTCATTTCCGAGAGCTCCTGGAAAGAATCCCTTAACCTAAAGAAAGCATTTTTTTTTCTTTCTTTTTTTTGAGACAGAGTCTCGTCCTCTTGCTAGGCTGGAGTGCACTGGCATGACCTCAGCACACTGCAACCTCTGCCTCCTGGGTTCAAGCAATTCTCCTGCCTCAGCCTCCCAAGTAGCTGGGACTACAGGTGTGTGCCACCATGCCCAGCTAATTTTTGTATTTTTAGCAGAGACAGGATTTCACCATGTTGGCCAGGATGTTCTCGATCTCTTGACCTCGTGATCCCGTGATCTGCCTGCCTCGGCCTCCCAAAGTGCTGGGATTACAGGTGTGAGCCACCATGCCAGGCTAAGAATTCTATAATAAGGGAAAAGTAGGCTCTAGCGATGGGGAACATATTATTTAGGAGAGGATTTTGGGGTACTTCACCACATGATATAGACAACTACTTCTTTTTCTTGATCTGTCTGTTTAATAATGATGACAAAGGGATATCTGTGTTTTATTTCACCCTGTAGCTATGGTTATAACACATACCAGGATATAATACATTTTAAAATGTTAACACAAATGCCAAAATGAGGAGGGGAAGTATTACATCCACTTAAGTTTAGCAAGTGTTTACTGAGCATGTACTATGTATAAAGCACAGTGTAGGTGACATAGGATAGAAAGATAAATAAAATTCTATACCATCTGAACCTTCCAGAACCTGACAGTCCTTAGAAGGGGGATAAATAGACACACACATATGACACTACACACACATACGTATGTAAATAATATTAATGCAAGACATACTATGAGATATACTATTGCTTAATATGGAAGAAGGAGGCATTGATGCTAACTAGAGAGCACCTAGGAAGCCTTAACTAAAAGCAGAAACAAGGCTACCGATCCTCAAATCCCTGGACCCTACCCCTTCTCTGAACAACTACCGCTTCATCCTATTTTTCTTCAACATATTCAGAGATTAGGCCCACTGAATTTTAATTTTTTCTCTTTTTTCTTTATTAGGAAATACTTCAGACCTGCAAATGGTATATTAAAAAACCGTAATAAATAACCCGTGTGTGCACTTGAGAAATAAAACATTACAGATATAGTTGAAGTATCCACACACTAGAATTCTTTTACTAACATCCTCTGCTTTTTGTTTGTTTGTTTGTTTGAGATGAAGTCTCACTCTGTCACCCAGGCTGGAGTTCAGTGGCGTGATTTCGGCTCACTGCAACCTCTACCTCCCAGATTCAAGCGATTCTCCTGCCTCAGCCCCTCAGCCCCCCAAGTAGCTGGCATTACAGGCACCTGCCACCACACCAGGCAAATTTTTGTATTTTTAGCAGAGACAGGGTTTCACCATGTTGGCCAGGCTGGTCTCAAACTCCTGACCTCAAATGATCCGCCCGTCTTGGCTTCCTTAAGTGCTGGGATTACAGGCATGAGCCACCGTGCCCTGCCATCCTCTGCTTTTACTAGCAGCTTTGAAAGATGACCCTCAGTGAACCCCGTGTTCTGGTATTCATGCCCTTGTGTAATCCCCTCCCTCTGACTGTGGCCTGGACTCAGCGACTTGCTTCTAATGAATAGAATATGACAAAAATGGTGGGATGTCAATTCTGTAATTAGGTCGCAAAAGATTGTGACTTCCATCCTGCCAGCACTTGGACTCGCTCATTCTGATGAAGCCTGCTGCCATGTTGTGAGATGCTCTATGAGGTGGCCCACATGACAAGAAATCAAGGGAAACCTCTAGCCAACACCTTGTGAAGAACCGAGTCCTTCATCCAACAGCCCAAAAAGAGCCAAATCCTGGCAACACCATGTGAGTGAACTTGGAAGCAGATCCTCCTGGTGGAGTCTTCAGATGAGACTGAACCCCCAGCTGACACCTGGATTGCAGCCTTGAGAGAAACCCTGAAAAAAAAAAAAAGACTCAGCGAAGCCATATCTGGATTATGATTTGAGCTCCTGAATTTTGGGGTAATTTATTAATTTATTATGCAATATGAACTAATATACCTTCCAAGAGGTAACCACTGTCCTAAATGTGTTGTTTATCAATCTCATACATGTCTATAAATATGTATATTTAATATTTGTATGATCATTCCCATGAATGTGTGTGTATATATATATATATATATATATATATATATATATATATATATAAATTGATTAAATATTTTCATTCCTGTCTGACATGGAAGAAGCATAAATAAGTTGTGTTAAGTGTATTAAAAAGGCCGGGCGCGGTGGCTCACGCCTGTAATCCCAGCACTTTGGGAGGCTGAGGCAGGTGGATCACAAGATCAGGAGATCGAGACCAGCCTGACCAACATGGTGAAACCCTGTCTCTACTAAAAAAAATGCAAAAATTAGCCAGGCGTGGTGGCAGGCACCTGTAATCCCAGGTATTAGGAGGCTGAGGCAGGAGAATTGCTTGAACCTGGGAGGCAGAGGTTGCAGTGAGCCAAGATTGCACCATTGTACTCTAGTCTGGGCAACAGAGCAAGACTCCATCAAAAAAAAAAAAAAAAAGTTAAAAAAATCCATATAAGTGCTATTGCAATATTTGTATCATTCTGGAACTAGCTTTTCCCTTATTCATTTTCTACTGCCACCACTCAGTATTTGCTCTTCCAAGAGGTCTTTCTCTCATAGCCCCTGTAACTTCTAGCCTCCTCCCCAGCCCAGCCTTTGGTGTTCTATTCAGTTTACCTGCAACAGTCCCAAGCCGATGAATTAGGCCTGGCCCTACCTTAAACGAAGCTCAGCTTCTTCCCATATTGCTCTCTAAACCAAAATCTGGGCCTAGGCTCTTTAACATTACATGGACTTCTAGGCTTATCTGGATCATAACTTTGGTTTTCTTTGATAATGCTGCTTTCAATAACAGTGTGCATCTTAAAGTTTAATGTGTACAGGAATTACTTGTGGATCTTGTTAAAGTGCAATTGTGATTCACTAGGTTCACAGAAGGCCTAAGACTCTGCATTTCCAAAACACTTTTAGGTGTTGCTGATGCTGTTGATACATGGACCACATATTTGGTAGCAAGGTATGAGAAGCAAGACGTCCATCTCTGTCTTTACAGATATTGTTTTGACATTTTAATTTATATTGGGCAGCAATAAAGAAACTTAAGCTTACCCAGTGATTGAATGTGATAGCTTTCAAACAAGGAAAGGTAGGCTGAAACAAAAACAAATAATGCAAGGAAACATTTGACTCAGTGTTATTTACCTAAAGCAAGTTAAGAGAAGGGAATAATTAGAGTAAAAATTAACGTAATAGATAATAGAAAAGCAATAGAGAAAAATCAATGAAACTAAAAGCTGCTTCTTTGAAAAAAAATTAACAAAACTGTCAAACCTTTAGCTCGATTGACCAAGAAAAAAAGAAAGAAGACTCAAATTACTGTTACCAAAACACCCGAGGTTTGGTCTAGGATCCTGCTGCTCCCAGCACAAAAAGCCAGTCACTGAGACCATGAGGATTGCAAGGAAGAAGGCTTTAATAGGGTGGGTGGCGGGTGCTGCTGTTGAGGAGTTGGGAGATCCGTCTCAATTCTGTCTCCCTGGCTGACTAAAATTAGGGGTTTATTTAGTGGGGAAGAAATGTAACTGTGTGGGAAATCAGGAACTAGGGAAGGGTAAAGAAGCAATCATGAGGAATGAGGGATTTGGCATCTCATTGTCTGGATGTAGTGATCTGGTGAGTTTCAGTTCTTTCATACTTTGTGAGAGGCCCGAGGGTCTTTTCCTGAGGAAGGAACTCAAATGAAGCAAATGAAAGTTTCAAGCTTTAAGAACAGAAGCCTCCATTTCTATGTTTATCCATAAAAACCGTCTCTGGAACTATTGGGTTGGTTTCATTACTAGAATTACAAATTAAAGAGGGAACATTACTACTGACTTTACAGAAATAAAATGGATTATAAAGAAATACTGTTAACAACTGGACATCAATAATTAGATAAAATGAACAAATTTCTAGAAAGCTGAAAACTACTGAAACTGACTCAAGAAAAAAACTAATATGAATAGACTTATCACAAATGAAGAGATTGAATTAGTAATTTTTAAAAACTACCCACAAAGAAAACTCCAGGCCCAGATAGCTCACCGCTGAGTTCTAACAAACATTTAAAGAAGAGTTAATTTAACACCAGTTCATCACAAAGTATCTCAAAATAGAAGATGATGGAACTCTTCCTAACTTACTCTGTGAGGCCAGTGTTAGCCTGATACTAAAATCAGACAAAGATATAACAGGAAAACAAACCTAAAGATCGATAACTTTTATGAATATAGTTGCAAAAATCCAAAACAAAATATTAGAAAACTGAATCCAACAACATAAAGAAAATAATGCAGTAGGAAAAGTGGGATTTGGCCGGGCATGGTGGCTCACACCTGTAATCCTAACACTTTGGGAGGCCGAGGCGGGTGGATCACTTGAGGTCAGGAGTTTGAGACCAGCCTGGCCAACATGGTGAAACCCCATCTTTACTAAAAATAAAAAAAATTAGCTGGGCGTGATGGCACATGCCTGTAGTCCCAGCTACTTGAGAGGCTGAGGCAGGAGAATTGCTTGAACCTGGGAGGAAGAGGTTGCAGTGAGCCAAGATTGCACCACTGCACTCCAGTCTGGGTGGCAGAGTGAGACTCTATTTCAAAAAAAAAAAAAAAAAAAAAAAAAGAAGGAAGGAAGAAAAGAAAAGTGGGTTTATCCCAGGAATATAAAGTTGATTTAACATCTGAAAATCAATATATCATAGCAATAGAATAAAAACCAAAATTCACATGATCACCTCAAATAGATGCAGAAAAAGCTTTTGACAGGCTGGACGTGGTGGCTCATGCCTGTAATCCCAGCACTTTGGGAGGCCGAGGCGGGTGGATCACTTGAAGTCAGAAGTTCGAGACCAGCCCGACCAACATGATGAAACCCTGTCTCTACAAAAAAATACAAAAATTAGCCAGGCGTGGTGACAGGTGCCTGTAATCCCAGCTACATGGGAGGCTGAACAAGGAGAATCGCTTGAACCCGGGAGGTGGAGGCTACAGTGAGCCGAGATCACACCATTGTACTCCATCCTTCCAGCCTGGGTGTCAGAGTGAGACTCCATCTCAAAAAAAAAAAGCATTTGACAAAATCCAATACACAACACCCTATACCCTTTCATGATAATAATATTCAATAAACTAGGAATAAAAGGGAACTCCATCAACTTGATAAAGAGCAACAAGGAAATATCACAACTAACATTATACTTAATGATGAAAGAGTAAAGGACTTACTCTTAAAAATAGGAACGAAACAAGGATGTCAGCATCTCAACATTGTATTGGGTGTTCTATCCAGGGCAATTAGGCAGGAAAAAGAAATACAAGCCATCTGGACTGGAAAAGAAAAAAAGTAAAACTACCTCTATTTGCAGATAACATGATCTTCTATATAGAAAATCCTAAAGAATCCACACAAAAAGGTCCATCAAGGTTGCAGGATATAAGATCAATGTACAAAAATCAATTGTTTATCTATATTTGCAATAAACAATCAAAAATGAGATTAAGGAAAACAATTCCATTTACAGTATCATCAAAAAGAATAAAATACTCAGAAATAAATTTAAGAAAAGGAGTACAAAAATCATATTCTGAAAACTACAAGGAAATGTTAAAAGAAATTAAAGAAGATATAAATAAATGGAAACACATTCTATGCTCATGGGTCAGGAGACTTAATATTGTTAAAATGATAATACTTCCCAAAGTCATCTACAGATTCAATGCAATCCCAGTCAGATCCCGGCTAGCTTTTGTTTAGAAATTGGCAAGCTGATTCCAAAATTCATATGGAATTGCAAGTGACCCAGAATAGTTAAAACAATCTGGAAAAAGAAGAACAAAGCAGGAGGACTCATACCTCCTGATTTCAAATTTTACAACAAATGGTAATCAAGACAGTGCAGTAGTGGTATAAGGATAGACATATACACCAATGGCATAGAATTGAGAGTCCAAAAATAAAACCATGTTGTCTGTGGTCAACTGATTTTGACAAGAGTGCCAAGACCATTCGATGAGGAAAAAAAATAGTGTCTTCAAGAAATAATGCTGGGACAACTGCATAGACACACAGAAAAGAATGACATTGGATCATGTCCCATACTATATATAAAAA